CCTTTGAACAGCAAGGGACAAAGGGCATGACAGGGCTCCCACTGCTAAGCAGACAGGACAAGCCAGCTCTCAGGAAGACAGGCCACTGCTGCAGCCAATCCACCAACCCTGACCTGGGGCGGCAGTTTCTCTGCTCTCCCCATTGGCTCCTGTGCACGCACCCATGGTGGGACGCAGTCCATGGTAATCTTCTTCCATTACCAAATAATAACTTTCCACATTAGCAATGACAGAAGCAGGAGCTGTCACTCCTCCACTATCAGCCTCTGACAGATAATGTATCTGGATGTGACATGGGGCTTTTATCTCCCGTTTATGCAGAAGGGAGTGGAGGATGGTGGGAGCCTAGGGCAACTGTATCCTGGGTGCTCTGTTTAGAGGCTGAGCACTGGTTACTGGAGGAAATGGATCAAAGGGAAATATAGGATGATTCATTTCCCCTTCACCCTCTCGGCTGAGTTACTCTCAGCTCTCAGGTGTGTTGATCTGTTTGCAAAGCACCAAATTAAAATCAAATCAGCACTTTTTGGGTGCCGACCTTGGGCGAGGCTGTGTGGGCAGATTGATTTGTCATAGGGGATTGTGGCTTCAGGTAGGTGACAGGACTTCTCCCCAAGCTACACAAATGAACTTCTCTCTGTGAGGCTGTCCCTGGCAGAGATCCCCTGCAGGGTCCCCTATGCTGGGTGCTTGGGAGCATCAGGGTCTCAGAGCCACTGCCCTGTAGTGCCTCACACTCCTGCATCAGCAAAGTCAGATCATACCACGTTCCGGCGTTGTCCCGTACACCACATAGTTGTGGGTTTGATTTCAGGTTGGGGCTCGTATGAGAGGCAATCAATCAATACTTCTATCTCCCATTGATGTTTTTCTCTCTCCCCCTTCCTCTCTCTTTACAGTCAATAAAAACATTTCCTTGGGTGAGGATTTGAAAATACACACACACATACTATATGGATACATTTCTATAAATTTCAATAACAGATAAAATCAAGCTCCTGCCCTAGTCCTGGCTCTGCCTTCTAGCCCAGGGGAGCCCACAGAGGCTGATGTGTGTCCACTGTACAACCTCAGAATCCAATAAGCAATTCCACACAAGTTATGGAATAATGGTTCCCCTCAAAGAGAGAATGCAAGAACGAGCAATGTCATGCCCCTTGTCCTACTGACCATTGAATGGATCTTTCTACCTCCTTCCAGTTGTTCCTCTAGGCTCACTTTTTAAACTCTGAAATCATTTCTACCAACTCCATCAATGACAATACACCCTCCAAAGGCCTAGCATGAGTACAGTGAGAACAAGACAAAGGGGATTCCAACTAGGTAGGAATCTATATATATTAAAGCCTAAGTGACTGGCCAACCGGCCGACCAGCCGGCCGGTAGCTATGACGTGCAATGACCATCAGGGGTCAGATGCTCAATGCACAGGCATGGAAACATGGAACAGACTAATGAATCTCAGAGGTAAGGGGAGAGGGGGAGGGCGGGAATAGATTAACCAAAGATCTTACATGCATACTCTCAGTGGCTTCCTAGCTCACCCCTCGGAAAAGCCCAAGTTCTTACAGTGAGTCTCATGGTTCACGTCCTGGTTACCTTGGACTTCATCACCTACCTCTTTCCCCCTTACTCACTGCCCTCCAGCCACATTAGCCTCTTCTCTGCTCCTCAAATACATCAGCTCTGCTTCTCCCTTGAGGCCTTTCCACAGGCTGCTCCCTCTACCCAGAATGCTCTTTCCCCAAATATCTATATATTTCCTTACTGCCTTCAAGTCTTCATTCAAATGCCACCTTCTCAGTGAGGTACTTCTGAGCACCCCGTCTAAATTACAGCCTCTCAGCACTTCTGTCTCCCTCTCGTATTTCACCTTCTCCATGGCACTTATCACTCTCTGACATACCATTTAATTGGTATGTCTCCCCACTAGGAGGTAAGTTCCATGAGGGCAGGGATATTTGACTGCTTTGCTCATTGCTATACCCCCTGCACCTGAAACAGTGTCTGGCATGGAGCAGACTTTAATGAGAGGATGAATGGGTGGAAGCATAAACTGGAACATGTTTTTGGATGTAATTTACCAGCTACATTATTACTCTAATTACTTAGAGAAGTACCTCCTAACTGTGCCCTTGCTCTCTGTCTTCTCTACTACTGCTCTTCCTATTTCCTCCATGGCGTTTGTAGCTTTTCCTAGGAGAAGTACATGATCGGGCTCCTGCAGGTATGCTAACTGTCCTGCCCTGGTGCCACCTCTCTGTCACCACGTCCTACTCCAGCAGCATCTGGCAGGTGCTGACCCGCCTTCTGCCCAGGGAAGAACAAAAATTGCCAGAGCCGTTGATGAATAGTGATGATGCCTTTTTTCTTAAAAGACTACTTTGTTTTTGAGCTGAAAAGAACTGGCAGAGCTTACGATATTATAAATTTTTAGCAATTTCAAAGGCTAAGATACTACTTTAATTGAAACATACATATAAATTATAGCAGCATTTCTTCCCTTGTGTTTGTTTCAAAGGGCAAACTATGAAGTTTAGAAGACAAGAATATAGTTCCTGAGCCATACGCTAGCCTTTTCTGCAAATCTATTAGGTTGCCAATTCCCTAATAATTTAATCACTGCTTTTATTGGACTTCCCCAATAGACACAGTCCTTTGGACTGATTTCCTGGCTCCATTACCACATCTCTCATATCCATTTCATTGCATGGGTCTATTTTACTCTTCATCTTGCTTTTTTATAGACTCATTTCCTTGCCCCACCCCAGTAGAACTGTTCTAGCACCATTTCAACAATTGAAGGTGGCAGGCTCCCACTGTGCTCTCCCAGGACAAGGCTGGCTGAGGACCAGAAGCAGACAGCAAAGGCTCCTCCAGCCATCAGGAAGAAGTACACGGTGGGAGGAACAGCAGTCTCCAGAGTCTGATTTCATCCATATTCGGAATTCTGAAAATCTTGGCAGAGGTTCTGTCCACTGGATTAGGCAGTTCATCATGCTCATCCCAAAGCCTGGCCAGAAATGTGGGGGACAGGCCTTGTCCACGTGATCTGGTCCAGAGGCAAAGAATTCTCCATGCTAGGAATGCCTTGGAATTTATTCATTTAATGGTCAGGACAGGGAAGCAGCACACATTTAGGGAGCTCTTGCTTTAGACAGAGAACAGAATAACTATGTGTGTCTGTGGACCACAACTGACTGCTAAGCAAGTAGTGGATGCCGCTCATTTTTAATAATATGCTAAGAAACTTGCTCATCAGCATGAATCATGACACTGGGCCTCTGCCCTGACTTAGGATGGAGAGGGGCCAAGATGCCAGTTTCTGTGTTTCAGAGGTAAGCTTCTCTGTGGTACTTATCTACCGTGCCACTCCGTGCCACAAACTAACTACACCACGGTTCCAGCAACAGTATAATAGAATCTGCCAAGCATTTTCCCAGAAAGACCCCAGTGGCACCATTGCTCACTATTATAATTCATTGAAAGCCTTGTCTTCCAACCTGCCTCCTTAGGTTATTAAATTATGTCATTACCAGTCCCTGTTTGTGTGTTTTAATTTTGTGTTTCCCCTTGAGCAGCGATCAGAAAGGGAGCATTGGTGGAGGGTTCTAGCGGTCTCTGCAGCTAAACCTTTGCTGGCTCCTTGCCCACTTCCTCCACTCGATCCTCCTCTGGATCCCCCATCAGGACTCAGGTGCTAATGAGCAGAAACTCACAGAAATCTGTCGGGAGTTTGAAAACATGGACATAACTCGTGCCTACTATAAGGCCAAGAAACTAGACTCACTGTATTTACATGTATGTGCTAGGATATATATGTACACACATGCCTGCACACAGGGATTTCACAGCTGATGGGAAGACCGTGCTTTCCTCAGGGCAGCTGGCCTGGCAGTCCTGCGCCTTCCTGGCTCCTTAAGGAGAGAAGCACCTGATCCATACCAGCGTCCTGCTTCCCTCCATCAGCCTCCCTGAGACCCGGTGGGTACTGTCACCTCCCCTCCACTCAGGGAATGTTTCTGGCTGCCCACCTTACCTGCCTGTCTCCATACAGCAACCATCTTGTTGGCTTTTTAACCTGTTCGGTTCCTGACTACCCTAGATGCTCAAGGTTCAGGAGCATGTTTTCAAGTTATGCTGCTTGAGGAAGAAACACACCTATGCAAACACGCAAAATGAAAGGGAAAGAGTGCACCCAGAGAGAGGAGGCAAGTGCGTGGTCATCAGAGAGATGGAGGTCCCAGGGAGAATAGTCGGACCTAACGCAGTGGTTCTCAAATGTACCCGGTAGCTCTATCATCTGCAGGCTGTTCAAACCAATTGCTGGGCCCCACCCCAGGATCTCTGAGCCAGCAGATCTGAAGTGCAGCCTGAGTTTGCATTTCTAGTAACTTCCCAGGTGCTGCTGGTCCAGGGACCACACTTTGAGACCCACTGGGCTAATCTGGTGAGAGCCTGCCCCGTGCAACCCCAGAGGAAGGGATTTAGCTCAGTTTCTATAACCTGTCAAATGCCTCTAGGCTTCCTCAGCCTTCCCATTTCGTACTTTGAATCTAACCTCCTTAAGAGAAGAAACCTTTGGCTGCTTTCCCCGAGAAAGCACAATGGAGCTTGGAAGTCTGCTGCAAAGGGGGCGAGGTTCCTGCTTTCTAGGGAGCTGCTTGGTGGAAAGTATTCTTTGTAACAAGCCTATGCAGGAGCCTGCCCTCTGCCCAAAGAGATGGAGCCCAGAGGAGGATGTCTGATTTAAAAATAGTGCACCTTAGCAAAATCTAAACTGTCTTTAAGATCAAAGATCCTAAAAGAAAATGAGGTTTTACAGATCAATCATAATTATTTCACTAAATTCTATGAGTAGCAAATGATTGCAAGCAGTGAGACCAATGTTGTTCCAGGAGGACAACTGTAAAGAAAGGTTGGTGGTAAAAGGTTTCTGCTGTGCTCCCACCATCTCTTCCCTCTCCCAGAACCCAGCCAAGACAGAGGATGCTGCTCACTGTTTCGGGGTTTCTCCTCATCCATGCCTTCGTCCTCGTTCTCAGGGTCAATGTCTTCCGCCTGTGTGATCCAGTCCAGGTAGCCTTTCAAGTCCTCTTCCAGTTGTTGCTTCTCTCGTAGCTTTTGGAAATCCCCCCGAGCCTTGGCCTTCTCCCTCTCTTTGGAGAACTCTCTGGAGAGAGAGTGGAGTGGCAGGGCAGGGAGTGCATGGAAGGAGGGCGTGGGTGGGGCATGAAGGAGAGATGGAGACAAGGGGAAACAAAAGTGAGGATGGCTTTGCACTAGGAAGCCTGCCCACATGCCCCAACTTCCACAGGTAGCCTTCTCTAGCCATCCCAGGCTATGTCTTGGCTCTCACATAAATAGAAGGAGTCACTGAATGGGAGGGATAAAACCCATTTCCCTTTTTCCTGGATCATGATTACAGGCTCTGCCTTCAATAACAACTGCTCTCCAATGACCCGAAATCTCCTTCGAACAGTAACCAAAAAAACCTCCACAATAGTATGGAACATGCATTCACCTTTCCCAGCTTTGGACGGCAGGAGAAGAGTCTCAAGAGCCTGTGGGTGGCAAAAGGTGCAGGAGCCCGGTGTGCTGAAGCCTGCTCAACCACAGCGGCTCCCGAGAGCCACCTTGTCACGGCTCTTCCCAACTCTGGCTTCAGTGAGGTCTCTGTGGTGGCTTCAAATTGGCCATGGTGGGAATATTTACACCATGGGAACTGGCAAATGTTATAAACCAGGGCTTTCTCCCCTAAAGAGCCAATTGTTAAATATGTATCAGTGCACCACTGATTTGAGACCCAGGGGAATGAACCCCCTCCTTCTCTATTCTTATGAATAGGGCTCTTCCTGCCTCTCTTAGCTGCCTGGGAAGATTTTTAATCTAGAGAAAGTGCTTTCTCACATGGAGACAATGAGGGTTCCAAACACAAGAAAATGTCCTGGGGGCTGCCTTTTAGGTTAAAAAAGAAATCTAATCATAATGGAAAAATATATAAAATCAAGATGATATAAAAGTTAAATGATGCGTTCAGTTTAAAGTAATAATGAGCAGAAATTGGAATTGAATTGGAGTTTGACAAAAGAAGGGCCTATTGAAAAATTTGACAGAAGGGCTATTTATTTTCTATGATTCTGTCCTTATTTCTCTCTGATTTCAAATTCACTTTCCTAGCAAGGCAGGGCTGGCAGCAGAAGGCTGTGATCAAGAAGGTTAGTTCTTAACTTGCCAAGCAAGTTTGTGTCTTTTCTTCTCAAATTGTACACAGGAGCATTTCTCTGCTTGATACTCAGTCTATGGGGAATGGGGCCTCAGTGGTGTGTGTGTGTGTGTGTGTGTGTGTGTGTGTGTGTGCGCGCGCGCGCGCGCTGCATTGGGCATCTTGTTTAATTCTTAGAAATATGATTCCTCCTTCTCTCACCAGTAAAGGTGTAGTTCATGGCAGGCGGCTGCAGAAACCACCTTGAAAGAATTCCTTGCACAAGCCAGACACTCTACAGAAGGACCTTGGAAGGAAGGACACACCAACAAACCATAGTGGGCACAGGCTCAGCCCCTGAATCTATTGGCTGACATTAGCTGGCTCTCTCACCACACCCACTGGCTGCTATGCGCATTTTGCTAGTGCTGCTTTGGAGAGCATGGGTTAGAGCTCACCATTTTTTATGGTGAATGGGGTTGGTGCTGGAAGTGGTCTAGGGAACTTCTTAATTGGGAGATGTGGGAGCTCTCAAGCTAACGAGTTCTCTTCAACTGCTGCCTTAATGGTGCTCTGGTTTGGATGGAATTTTCTTCCTAAATTTGATTGAATTCTAATTGGACTGAACTTGTTTTTCATTGGGCTTCCTGCCAACTGGTGGGTACCTTCATTTCCTTCCCAGGGAGTTTAATGCCAGGGAAAAGGGGCCAGATTAACAGCTTGCAGTGACGATGGAGGCCTTGCTCTGCTTTGCCCAGCTGTCCTTTTGTTATTGAGGTGGACAAGGAAAGATGCCAGCCACCTGCCTAGTCACACCTCTGTACCTAGTCACACTGCCCCAGGGCTGTAGGCCTGCTCTCTGGAGACAGTCACTTCATATAGAAGTTCCCTCCCTGTGAGAATCAACTCCAACACTACGCTTGAAAGCCCCGCTCTCTGCTCTCTTTCTGCCCACACGCATTTGCACCTCCATCCCTCTCCTGTGGAGTGGGTTTGAGTTGTAAGGTGACTAAATAGCTGAGGGTTTATTTAGGCTCTTTTGGAATATTTTGCAGAGGGTCCAAGTTCTAGTTCAAAAACAACTACCCATTCTTCTTCTAGGGTTGGGAGGATAGGACTGGGGCCCAACTGGAGTAGGGACAATTGACCCAGACCTATTACAGCATCTGCCCTGTGGAATCAAACTCACCATCGGTACCCTCTGGGGACTCAAAGTAAACATCAAACATCCCTGTGATGAAAGAAAACTGAGGTGTGTGAGGGGTGTGAAGGGGATAGGAAAGTGGCAAGGTCAGATCGGAAGCCTGTGGCTCCCCTTGGCTCCCAGGGGTCATGGGACACAATCACACTGCAGCCGAATGGAAGGTAAGCCAGGTTTCCCCATCCAGACCCCATGCAGTAAGGGATTTTTCTGGGTGGCAGTGCCTGGCTCTCTTTTATCTCCTCGCCTGGATGCCAGCCAGGCACCTGCTCTGGGGACTGAGCTAATGAAGACATGAAGCCCCAGCCTGTCGGGCTGTGCTGGGCCCAGGGACCACAAGTCAGCTAGACAATCAGTCACAGCTGTGGGATTTGTCGTAGACAGAAGCACTTCCCTGGCCAGCAAGGGCCAACATGAAAAATGAGGGTGGGGTGGAGAGCCAGAGGACCAGCACTCACTGATGTAAAGCGAGCACAGGGATGTGCAAGTGGAAAATCCTCAATACCGACGGCTGGTGCTCTAGGCCCTCTATGATCCATACAGTCGAGCCCCATTATTCACAGATTCTGAATTTGCGAATTTGCCTACCCGCTAAACTTTATTTGTAACCCCAAGTCAATTACTCGTGTGCCTGTGAGGTCTTCCACAGACATCTGTAAAATGGAAGAAAACTGAGTCACATCCCCAGCTGAGGTCAGACAAGGTGACCCGTTGCCTTCTTGTTTCAGCTCTCAGACTGTGAACAGAGGTCTCCTTTTTATGGTCTGTTTATTGCCACAGTTTTTATGGTCTGCTCATTGCCACTTTTGTGTTTTTGTTGGTGATTCTGCTGTTTAAAATGGCCCCCAAGCATAGTGCTGAAGTGCTGTCCAGTGTCCTAAGTGCAAGAAGGCTGTAAGGTGCCTCCTGGAGAAAATACATATGCTAGATGAGCTTTTTTCAGGCATGAGTTACAGTGCTGTTGGCCATAAGTTCAATGTTAATGAATCAACAATGTGTATTAAATAAAGTATATTTAAAGAGAAACACACAAAATGCATGGTTATGTACTGATCACTTGATTAAAATGGTGTGATCAGAGACTAGCAGGAACCTCACCCTGTATTTCTCCTGAGACCAATGGTTTGGGATTGATACTCAGCATTTGTGGGGACATCACAGAATAATGAGAATCAACTGTCTATGCTGCCATCTCTTCTGCTTCCACCCACAAGGCATGTTCACCCTGGCCTTTCTCTTGCTTCCATCTGGACCTGGGTGTTGTGCCATGGTCCAATTATGCCTTTAGGTGGTAACATGCTTACCCACCTGGCTCTCTGCTTTTGGGGGAGAGAGACATGCACATCTCCCCAGGGGAAAAGAACTGGATGACTACCCACCTAGCGGTACTGGGCCCCTTGTCAACTGGAGGCACATGTCTGAAGCCCTCTGTTCACAATCACTTAAAAACAAAAAGTGACTGGATTCCAGAGTCCAGGGACTTGCAACTGATTACAGCGTCCATGCAGTTTTGAGACTCTCACCGTCACTGCTGTTGTAATTCTGATAGGCTGGAAGGTGAGCCTTCTCAAGGGGAACACAAATATAACCTGATTCATATCTATAATACCAGGCCTGCGAGGACCAATAGGCAATGAACATGTAAATTCTTTCCACTGACACTATCCAGCCCTGTCAGGATATGTGAGTATCCTAGATGAAGGACACCCAAAGGACCCTCTGAAGACCAACATTTCTGATTCCCACCTTTTAAATGGAAACTTCATGGAGTGTCATCTTCCCTATCTTCATGAGCGGCAAGCTCCAAGCACACTTTAACCTTTTCTTGGTGCCAAGGGACATAATTTGAATGTGAGTTACTCTTAACAGACAGCTGCAGGCTAATGCCCCCAGTCCCAGAATGCTCCAAGCCTGCAGTGCTGCTGAGTGGGGGCTCCTCTCTCTGAGGGACTGTTAGGACTTGCTGGCTGCCAGCCCCCATGCTGAACAGCCCTGCCCTGCTGCAGCCTCCGGCGCTGGCTCTACACCTTCCTCCTGGGACTCTGCTCCCGCTGGCTGTTCCAGGAGCCTGCCATGGACAGGGCTGCTGCCTGCTCTCTCGCCCTTCCTCACAGCAGTTCCACTCTTCATCTCTCTCCTTTTTTACTATAACTTCAGGACATAGGTTTAACCAGCCAAATTGGTTGGGGGACAGTATAACAAGTTCAGGAATGAGGTTATGGGTTCACATTGCTTGGATTTAACCTGGATCCTCCCCTTTTCACCTGTCAGAAGTGAGGTAGGAATTCATGGAAAGCTCACTTTTCTTCTCTCTAACATGGAGGTGTGAACAGCACTAGCTTAGAGGGTTGTTGGGGGCCCTGCATGAGTTAATCTACCTGATGCTCCCGGGACAGAGCCTGACAGAGAATGCTGGCTCCTGGTCATGCCTCATTGCTACAGTGAGTTTCATGGGCTCTGAGACTTCCCTGAATGCTTCTGGCAGGTTGGCTTACCCAGGAGTCTGACTGATAAATAAGTGGGAGTTTGCTGCATTCCTGTGGTCCTGCCTAGACACTGATTCAAACCCAAACCTGCCACCACCAGCTAATCAGGCAGCAGGAGCCTGAGTCCATGTCACTTCATGGGCTCAGGGTGGCCCATTCAGGTTGGCTGGCCCTCTTGACAGGTTAGAAAGGGTTCCTTAACCCAGGAAGGGGAGCTGCTCGCCCACGGACATTTCTTTGTACCAGCAGAGGGTGTGCCCAGGGGCCCAGGAGGCCTTGGGCGAAGTTCTGTCAGATGTTGCAGAGCTCTGAGCAGCAGGCACTGCTCGGGGAAGGTCAGGGAGCAGGTACGGGGAAGGTCTCCAGGACACCACTGCGGACCAAGGACTCAAGGTGCCGAGGTCTGAAGGTCTGGTGCTCCTGTTCAGAGTCCACACACGCTCTGAGTGTTACTACTTGCCAGGCTTTGGGCTGGCGTTTTTACACACCCTCTCACTGTGACTGAGCCAGGCCAGGTCTCCAACAGCTTTTCTCTCAGGTCAGCAGCTGCTGAAAGCTGACATCTTTACTCTGATACCACCGGGAAGATGATTTTTCTTGTGGGGCAAGGACTATGGGCAGGTTCTCTGCTTGAGGAGGGGTGTTTGTAGTCTAGTTCCCACTCTCCAAACCCGATTCCAGGGTGGGGTAGGCGTATTTCCCTTAGATTTGTTTCTAATTTTGGGGGGAAGAAAATGGAATCATTAGAAATTTTTCTAGAGGTTCAGAGCTCTGGGTTGTATTTCAGTTCAAGGTCATTCAGTGTGTACCCAATGGGCAATGACGGGAAGATGGGAGCCTTGTTCTGCTATTTACCAACCAAGTGACACCATGCAAGTCGCTTAACAACTCTGGGCTCACTTTCCTCATCTTTAAAATCTAACTTTTGGTGATTCTAGTCACTAATTCCAGTTATGATAGGCACCAAGTAAGCAATAACCATTGTAATGGTAGCACTATTACTGAGCATTTACTATATGCTAAGTATTTCACATAAATGATCTTATTTTATCATCCCAACAACCTACTGTTATCTTGATGTTTTCTGATGGGGAACTAAAGCTTAAAGAGGTGACATCGCTCAACATAATGCTTCCAGCAAGTGCAGGGCTGGGATAGCTAAATTTCTGTCTTCAGTGGGGATGAAGCTGATTTCCATGCTTTCCTTGGTGATTTACATAGAAACCCAGGGGCATTTTCTCGTGTTGGAACACAAATATGTAAGCCCTTCCACCTTCCAGGCAGCTAATCAGGGGCTTCTCTTGAACTCATCACTCTTACCCCTGAGGGAATACCCTCGTTTCCTGTGTGGTCTTACCTTGGCAGAGGCATGACGTCATCAAAGTCTCTAACAAGCCACCTACCAGGGGAAAGGGTGAGGGTGGAAGCAGAGTCCTTCCTTCACCCAGTTCTTAAGACTAAACCTGTTGCTCCTGCATTGCATTAGGCTGTGGCAGGAGGTGGGAGTAGCCATTCCTGGTTTATTACTGAGTAAAAATGAAGATCAATCTTTCTCCCTAGCCCTGACTTTCCCCCAGAATTAATGTCCCTAGAGATCTAGGATAGGCTATTCAAAGCAGTTGACCTGTCTGGAGCAGAGCAGAAATAGACTGCACCCCTCCCTCCTAGCCAAGGCAGCAGAGCGTGACACCCAGGAGCAGGTTACCAGGAGCATTTAGGTGTTAGGCCTTGGCACGGCTGGGTGAGCTTATGAGGAAAGTGGACTGAGGAAATCCAGTGAGTCCCATGGCAAAGGCAGCCATCCCCAGGGCTCCTCGATGCCCCGTACCTCTGCTGCTTCTACCACTTTCTAACTTCATCTGAGCAAAGGCCAAAATCAAGCAGGCTTTATACGTGGAGCCAAGTAGATAAACTGAAAGGAAACTACATTGCCTCTCTTCAGTTCTCAAATAATCTAGGGCTTTAAAGAGCTAAGTGCCCTTTTCATTCAGACATGGACTGCTCAGTCTATGCATTAGAATCAAAGGGAATTATATATTTAGTCTGCATTTGTTTATTTGTAGTTTAAATCAAACTCTTATTACCCTGGTTCAACCCTGAAACTCTTATTACCCTGGCTCCCTCATCTTTACTGTGAGCCAGGAACACACTGGGACTGGCCCGATGGTCAGGCAAGGACCCTCTGTAGGACTGCCGCATATGCTGAAGCACACAGTCTGCGACTCTTCCCTCCAATTCCAGCTGCCAAAGCCTCCCGGGCCACGGTGTTGCCATGCTGCTCCTCAGGTACAAGAAGCACCTGCCTACCCAAGCAGCTGCTTGAGAGGGGGAGGGCCTCGGATGAGCTGGCAGGAGACAGGTGGGCCACGGCATCTCCTGGTGGAGCCTGAACCAAAGAATTTATCATTTGTACATTTGACCCTCTGCCCAGCCAGGCCAAGGACATTCACTTCAAGGCTCCTGAGGTGGCCCCTTATCCCAGGTTCATCAGAGCCAGTAAAAGAATAAAGCCAGGAATAGCAGAAAGAGTAAATAAAATGGAAAAATCAAGACCTTTTTCCTTGGTCCTGCTTACCCGCTAAGGACACCGAGAACCAAGTTAAGTACAAAAAATGACCCTATGATGATTAGTGTAACAAAATAGATCCAGGGCCAGTCCCTTCCTACGGCATCATTGACCTGGAAGAACGGAATGATAGTTAGTGAGGTGCACACAGCAGTCGAGCATGGCCCAGCACCCATCATTGGCTCCAGACACCGACCCATGCAGCGCCAGGACCCCGGTCCTCTAGGTGAAAATCAGAGGCCAAACAGCCTGCCCGCCAATGGGCCAGAATTTGGGGTTTTCCCCTGGTTTTCCTGGGCCTCTTAGGGTCCCATCCCTGAGGATCCTGGCGATGGACAGAGTGGAACCTGGGACCTTGCTCGGCTGCATTGTAAGGAGGACATAGAAATGGTCAGCTTACCCGCTCAACACACCGAGAACCAGATTTAGAACGAAAAAGGATCCAAAGATGACCAGACTGACAAAATACACCCAGGGTAACTCATAGCCCATAGCGTCCTGCATCTGGAAAGATGAAGGAAAGTTAGGAAAGAGGGAAAGCAGAACTGAGTCAAAGCAAGCAGGCAGGTAGAGAGGCAGTGGAGAGAAACTGGAGGAGACGAATGGGGCTGCCCTTAGTGTCTGTCTATGTGGGTCATGGCCCATTGCTACCCCTGCATCACCTATACTCAGAATACTTATGGCCTTGACCTGAACTGTCAGGGACTTTTGCAGGCTCTGCCTTAAGAGAGATCTTGTCTGGTTCTCTCTGTTATTTTATTTTCTGGAACAAAAAACTTTCCCCAATGTTTTCTATCCACTTGTCTAAGAAGGTGGGTTGCCTCAAAAAATAATTCCTTCAGCAAGGAATGATTTTAACTCACTTGGGTTTACGTGACATTAAATCTTCCACTGCATCCGAGCTTGGTGTTGGATGTGCCTCAGCTCTTACTGCTAGAGCCAGAGACCTGGAACCTTCCAGGATGTGGGGGAAGGAGACCTTCCTAATGGGGCCTGCCACCTGGACCTGAGCTGGGCCCAGCAATTAGAGCAGCGGTTCTCAACCTGTGGGTCGCGACCCCTTTGGCAGTTGAATGACCCTTTCACAGGGGTCGCCTAAGACCATCCTGCATATCAGATATTTACATTACAATTCATAACAGTAGCAACAAAAATAATTTTATGGTTGGGTCACAACATGAGGAACTGTATTTAAAGGGCCAGAAGGTTGAGAACCACTGGTTTAGAGAATTTAGAGAATTCAATGAGCCCATATTAATCACCCAGGTGATCCTAAAGCAGGCTGAAGTTCCCTGACCACCGCCAGATGCCTGAAATGAGCTCCAGGTGTGCTGGGACAGTGCTGCCCTCAGGGGCCCTGAGTATGTATGCTGGACAAATATGTTCTTTGCTTGCTGTGAATAAAAAGATTGACAAGTGACCTACCTAATCTGACTGGTAAAAGTGTTACCTACCAATATATTCTTTGCAAATCTATTAATATTTATCTGGGGTTACCATACTTTGGTTAGAGAAATCTATCAAATGTAATCATGGTGCAAAGTACAAAAATTATGTCAAGGGCGTGGGGGTCATTTGTTAAACTGGGTCAGGGAGGAAAAGAAGAATTCTCAACAATGTCACTGAACCATGCCAAATTTAACTCAACTGAATACGAGTTTATTGATCATTCACACCTCCACACACCCTGCTGTTTTTTACATAGTGCTTATCACTTTCTAACTTATAATTTATGCATTTATTATGTGCTTGTCTTCCATGCTGGAATGTAAGCTCCGTGATGACAGGCAGTTTGGGCCTGTTTTATTCACTGCTGTATCCCAAGAGGCTAGAACAATGGTCGGCAATCTCATTAGTCAACAGAGCCACATATCAACAGTACAACGATTGAAATTTCTTTTGAGAGCCAAATTTTTTAAACTTAAACTATATAGGTAGGTACATTGTTATTAACTTAATTAGGGTACTCCTAAGCTGGCCTTTGCTAAAAACGTCCACACTCATCTTGTATACTTGTTTCAGATAGACGAGTGTGGATGGGAGAGTTGGAAGGGGTCGACCTCAGGAATGTACCTCAAAACAATATACCTCCCCCATGCTGCGTATCCCGCAGCCCGCCTGCGCTGCGTCTCCTGTCGCCCGACCGACCGACACCCCCCACTTCTTCTAACGCCACTTCTTCAAAATAGACTGGCCCAGGCCGAAAACCAACTTCTGTGCATGGGCCACGAAGTTTCAATCGCACTGTACGTGTGCGCCCGCATGTGGTATTTTGTGGAAGAGCCACACTCAAGGGGCCAAAGAATCACATGTGCCTTGGGAGCTGTGGTTTGCTGACCATTGGCCTAGAACAATGCCTTGCAGGCAGCAGGTGCTCAGTAAAGATTTGTTGAGTGAATGAATGAGCTTGATATGTGCCAGGCACTGTGCTGTCAGGAAGTGTGGGCTTGAAGGGGGAACAGATCAATAAAAGGCAACCACAATGCAAGGTGGTGAATGCCGTTGTAGAGGTAAACATGCAGGGTTATTGGAATCCAAAAGGCAAGAGTGGCTTGTGAAGCATGAGAACAAGCAGAGCCAGGCTGGGCAAGGGAAGCAGGAGTAGGAGGGAGCATGGAGGGCATATCATCCTGTGGTGGAAGTGGGGCTTTCCTAGGAACTTGGCGGTTGTTAAAAATAGAGCCTACAACTGGACAGCCATCCTAGTTCTGGGATGGAGGCTTTTCCCAGTGGCTGAACCATAAAATGTGCAACACAGCAGCAACAGTGAGGAGGCAGGGCAAGAGGTCCCCATGAGTCAGAGCTGCCTCATCTCAGGGAGCCAGGAGCCTCCTTTAACCAGAAGGTGACTTTCTGCACCAAGGCTGATAGGAAACCAAGGCAGCAGAAAGAAGTCCAGTAACATCTTCACTGCCAGGAGGAAAACAAAACTGCGCTAGTTCAAGCAGTGGCGGGGCTGGTGGAAGGAGATTAGGAAGGAGAAAAGCATGGGAGCCACAGTGAGCTGGTGGATGGCAATGATGGTCATGTGATACCAGCATCTGTATGTCCCATTTTATTATGGGCATGGTGACATCATCCTTCTATTATTCTTGGTAGCAGTCTTGGTAAGAGTCCCTATTTGTTCATTAAGTATGTACCGAGTGCCTACCATGTGTAAGACATATGTTCTGGGCTACAGTGAGAGTCACCGGGTTAGAAGCAGCCTGAGGTGGGAGGGGGCATCTGTGAGGAGGCGTCTATGGACCCCAATGCAAGGTCAGGTAAAGCCTTGAGTGTCCCACCTTTCCTCTCTCGGATTAAGAGATCCTTTCTTCGTCCTTAATTTAGTGCATCTTTTCTCTTTTGGGAGGGTGGGGAGGTCAGAGAAGGCTGAAGAGAACTGTGGACTCTCACCAGAGAAAAGGCACATACACACAGCACACTGCATACAATCTCACAGCTGTTCTGACCGTGTGACTGACCAACCAGCTTGCTCTGTGCTAACCCTAGGGCAGCACTTCCCCAAGTGGGGGTAGGGGATCAAGGGCTCTGTTCTGAAGAAGTTCCCTTGCTCCTCCTGGATCCCAGGTCTCAGCTCCCTCAGAACAAGACAGCTGGGAACAGGCAGTTAGTTCCAGGAGGCAATGGCATGCTCACCAGTTCACCCTTATAGAGCTGCCTCTGGAGCCCGGGAGAAGGATGAGTGGGAGGCAGGGCTGGTTGGCTCCTTGAAATGAAATCTCTCCTGACTGCTTCCTCATACTCCCTAAATTTTGTGACCACTTAATGGACAGAAAATAGTCTTCCAGGCCCCACAGCTCTGATGAGTCAACAAACCCGTGAGCCTTGCAGATGTCCTTGGGCCCTTGTTTTTAGTTTGAATGTCTTGTCCTCTGTGCCATTAATAACCTCAAGTGAATGGAGCTACAGACCACATCACCCACAGGTATTGCACAGATGCACTCAGGACCCATAGATTTCCCACAGCCAGGGCCACATCCTCTCCCCATTGCCCTATGTTTCTGCTTTGGCTTCTTCCTCGGCTATGGGAGAGTTCTTTCAGAGGTTCAGATGGAATAGTAGGTGAGGGGTAGGAGGACAAATGAGAGATTAGCGAGCTTCCAAGGTGGTCTTAGGAGCCCAGCAGCCCCTTAGTGGGCAATGCTCAACAACCACAAGAGGGGTTCTCTGGTCGCCCGGCTCTGGCCAGAGAGAAGGGAGCTCCTTTGTTTTCCCTCTTACTTTCTCTTCTTTATTCCAGGCCACCTACTTTGGGGGCAGCCTGGGTAGAGCACTGACAATGCTGAGTGGCTCTGAAGTAGGGCAATGCTTGGGGATGAGATCAATGTCTTAAATCAGCTCTAATGGAGCTATTTAGAAGAGAGAATAAATACAGTCACATTTTCAAAAAATGACCCAGATGGCTGACACCCTGATTTAGAGGTGAAAAAGGATAGGTCCTTTCTAACCATGAAAGCTAGTTGTTTCTTAGGCCTGCAGCACAGCAGTGTTCTGACTTTCCTAGGTAAGGCGCGTGGAGAGACCTCCTGATGTGCACCGTCCACAGCATTGTGCCTCTAGGGCCAACAGTGACATGCGGCCCCGCCTTTGTTGAAACACACAGCTCACTGGCCCTAGAATCAGTGGACAAAGGCAATGCTGAATGAAAATACAGAAGACTTTCTGAAACCATTCAATCTAATTCCTTGACGGGAATCCAACCTTAAATCAATGTATATCCCCCCCACCCCCCACCCAAAGAAAAAACAGCAGGAACACCTCTTGGCCACTACTCCCTCTAGGCCACTCTTGATATTAGCTGATTTCTCTGGGTTTTCAAGCATTGTCTTTCTTCTGTAAGGCTTGGCATAGGCACCATGAATCTGAAGAGATTGACTGTTACAGCTAATGCCAAAAGAGGCTGTCACTTGCCAACAAAGGCAGGAGGTGTAAACCAATAAAAGTCACAGCACTTTATACAGTGTCATTAGAGGACAGGGTTTGCTGCTGCCAAAAATGCCAGTGCCCTGAGCAAAGACTCGATAGATAAATCTGTGACTAATCGTGACCTTTGTCACCCTGCTTGCTGGGATATGGGGTGTCCACCCACGGTCACTGAGAGAGCAGCATA